TTTTATTCATTATCAGCTTACTATTCGTTAGTCTGGGGTTTGATAGTACACCTCTTGACTCAGATGCACACATCATACTCGTTTTGTGTTTTGTAATCTCACGTGTTGCGGCGCTGCAGTCTGTACACTGCTCGTTTGGATAGGTTTTACGCACGCTTTACGCACGGGGTTTACTTTATCCACGGCGCGCTAAAATACTCTGCACGCATATTAGTTAGAGTACAGAAGCGTAGGATATCATACAGTACAAGCTGAACATTTATATTAGCTCTGTTACCCCACGAGTTACATTGCTCCCACTCACACTCCACACACACGCACACACACACGCATCCATAAGCATGGAGGATCCTGAGCATGGTGACGCGCCAGAGGAGCGCAGGGAAGAGAGAGCTGAAGACAGTTCAACGTCACAATTAGACAAAATGAAAGTGGTGTTACTGAGCTCGCCAGTAAGATGGAGTCCATGTATTTAGACGAAGAGCATGATGAGCAAAACACTGTTACAGCAGTGACTAATGAAGATGATTCAGAGGAATCAGAAGCTTTAATGGAGCAGCTTCAGGCATTGCGACAAACAGTGGACAACCTGGAGGCCCGACTTAAAGAGGCGGTGGACAGCACTCTCAGTAGAGAGGAAGGTCTGAGAGCAGCTATGGAGAGACTAGGTGGAGAATTAAAAGAGTATGTTGACACTCAACTGCAGCATTTTGATCAAGTGGTTACATCCTGCTTACAGCGCAGAGATGTAAAATGGGCTGAAGAGCTGAAGCAGACCGTTGCCAAAGGCCGTGTGTCTTGGGGTCCAATCAGTTCCTCCACACCTCTTGTTTCCACCAGACAGCGTCCCCCGACTGAAGCTACGTTCTCTATACCGCCTACAGTCCCTGCCACTTTGCCCATTCGAATGGAGTTTCCCCAGTTTGGTGAATCCAGGAGCTCCGCTGATATTACAGACTTTATTGAGCAATGTGAAAACTTCTTAGCCCTCAGACCTCTGAGTGATGCTGAATTAATGGGAACCCTTAATGCAGTTTTAAAGGGCCCAGCTCGGAGTTGGTGGTTGGCGGCTCGCTGTAAAGTTAAAAACTGGGCACAGTTCAAAAGAGCTTTCCTTCCCTCAGATTATCAGTTGGAGATTGAGGAACAGCTCCGAGCCAATGTCCAAGCCCCGAATCAGTGTCTGAGAGATT